CATTGAAAACTAATTCGTGGTGTGTTCTGTGAACAAAATTGATTGAAGTAGCCTTTAAAACAAGTGACTGTACTGTGGTGCTGTTTTTCACCACCTGCGCTGCCAATGCTAAAATATCATGGAGTAATGGCGCGAATTAACTGCCCCCCCCAGGCTACTGGAAGTAAGAAGGTGGAGTGCTACACCTTGTGAATTTAGAGAAGTGACAGAATAGTGCTATTCCTATCGGCGGTACTGGAAACCAGCAAACCTATAATAACCATAACGAGACCCGTTTTTGCTATGTTACGGTACTATTGTAACACGTACTGATTATCGGACTGTGGTGCGCCAAATACGACTTAACTAAGCGTGTAAAACCTTGCATTACGCAACATTTTTCTGAACATAATTCCTACTTAGTCGAGGTCTGTCCGTAATCCTTTCTTTCTATGCGATATAACTAAATTCTGTTGTTAAGATACATGCCTGCCATTGTTTTCCTAAGATGGTGGACAAAATTGGTACACGGAGAAGCCATTCCCTGCTGGGAATGTGATGACCTTTCAGGCAGCTTTTCTGGACGTGAATAGCCATCATTCAGTTTCAGACACTAGCTGCAAAGGCTTCTTACAATCACGAACGCCAGGCAACACCGTAGTTGTTGAGAACGCCACGGTTCAATGAAACAGTGTGCGTTGTCATCGAAGAGACTCACGGCACTGAAGCTCTGCCGCTTTTTAATGGCTTCAATACATTCTCATCTTCGTTAGTTCTACGAAAAGCTTCTGCCAATCATCCATAATGCCACATTTGGAACCCTTCGATGCACCTCTATTTTTCATCCTCGATTCTTTACGTTATATGCACCTGATAAAGTGATACAAATGTCACAGTAAAGTCAACTCAGGTATGATGGCCTGCGCAACGAAGTACCTCAGGCATGCGCGCATGTATGCAAAATTTCACTCTATGATATCATAAAAGACTATGAAATATATTTTTACAAATTATTAATTTCAACTAAAATATAATTAATTATAAACATCGTAGCTTCCGGTGCTTCCTGCGCTGCTACGTTGCCAAATTATGGTCTGCCTTCCTGTACAGGCTTCAGGAATTTGTTCATAAAAAAATTCGTCTAGATGTTTCTAAAAGAAATTAATCGATTCATTAAAATTAAGCTAACATGGAAACGAACACGATTTTCAGTATCTCCTGCGACGCAAGGATATCCTTCTTATCAATGATGTTTCAACATACGTTATACGACTGCTTGAAGATATGGTTAAAATATGTGCTCTTCTATGTGCAGTGCTTTTATTCCAACCGCTGCTACTGTCGATTTCGAAAAGCCATTATAGCCGTCAAACTGGCGTATCTCAAATTGGCAATCAGTTCTTTATCAGTGATCAACAGACGGGGAACACTTAACAATCTGAAAAATGCCGTACCTTTCACCTATCCTCGAACTCGTCGGAGACTACCGAGCTTCGCCAAAACTTATGTGTTCAACGAGATTTGAACTCTCGAAGAAGATTTTGATCGTCTGCCTCGCTCTTACTGGATCATGCCAAACCATCATCTAGTTGTATTCATGGAGATCAGAACACAAATGTAGCTCTGTTGTTAAAAAAAGAAAAGTTTTTTTATGTTATAAGTATGTAACTGGTAGTACTTGTGAAGTAATTACATTTTTTGATTGCACTTGATCGACTGAGGTTAAATTCAGTGTCGAATCGTCAGGCCTGATCTTCCATCAAGCATTTATTTCGAGAGCTTCCCAATAAACTTGTCAAAACGTTAGAACGCCAAATCGCTATTGATTCATACATAACATCATAACATAACCATACAACAGTTGTGCAACGCTAGAGCGTTTGCAGATATTATTCAAATGACTATTTGTCAAGTAGCGGGTGAGATGAGACGGGCGTTCCACGTGTTATGCCTTCTTCCTTCCCTTTCGTTGCTTGCGCCAGCTC